CCTCCCTGCAGCGCAGTGGTCAGGCTTGTGAGTGCGCCATATGGATTGAAGTAATAAATAAGGAAGCTTTTTAAAGTAAAACTTTGTTAGATGCGTGTTTTGTTTCCTGACTTCACTCCTGGCTGCACTGAATCCAGCTCTGCTGCAGCTGTTTTGGGGAGGATGCTAAAAAAGACCCCCACACTGGGCTATTTGAACCTATACTTATTACTTCCATTTTAGCATTAAAGAGGGTCAGTTTATTAGCACTTGAATGGGCTGACGGGTAAATAATGAATAATGTAGTTTTGGCTGTGGCAGCTGGTCTGAGAGCAGCTCAAATACTGAGAGAAACAGAAATTGTAGACCAGAGCGTTAGTTCTGACATTTCCAAACGCCTCTGAAAAACACTGTGAGGAAAAGGTCAGCTCTGTTACTATTAATAACTTATTGTAGATGGTGGCACTTAATTACTGACATTATTAATGCTGTTCGAGTCACCAAAATCACACTTAATATTTATATGGACTGTAAGTGTCATTCCATCAGTTACATGTAAACACATATGAATGGTAATGGTAATGGTAATGGTAATTGGGGATGGGTAAACCCCAGGTGAGCGGGGGCCTCATAAGTGGGCCCATTGCTCTCCCCAAAAGATACTGGGCTTTAATCAAACCTTTTTGTCCCTCGGATGAAGGACACCAGGTTAGAAACCCTCAGTGTTCTAAGCTTCTCGGGRYYCAYWAARGGGTCTCCAAGAATTCTTTCCCTTAGACTGCTCAGAGCCAAGCATTGGCCTAGGTAGTGCAAAGAGGTCTCTGATTCAATGCCGCAGGCATCACACAGACCATTGTCTTGGAGTCCCATCACCATTTTATGGCGGTTGAGCAGATTGTGCCGAGTTAGCACTCCAACCAGTGTACTTAAAGTATTCCTTGTCATATGAATACAAACACAAAACCATATGGAACAAAGTAAACATTCGAAATGTTTATAATAAGAAATTTTTATAATAGTGTGGAATTTAGGTAATTTTGACTTTAATAAAAATATTGGACAGGAGCAACACAAGGCTGTAAAAGTAAGGTGTTGGATGAGCATTTTAAAACATATTTGGGTTATTTGGCAGCGGGTCAGTAAGAGGAGTGGGTATAAAAAGAGCATTTTAGAGACGCAGGATCTCCCAAAAGTAAAAATGGACAGACGTTCATCAGTCTGAAAAACTGTCTAAAAATACTGCAAGAGTTTCAAAATAATGTTCCTCAATTGAAAATTGGGAAGACTTCGGATATCCTGTCATCTGCAGTTTATAGTATTATCAAAAGACTTCAAGAAATCTCAGAGCTCAAAAGTCATTAGGGGCAGCTGTGGTAGAGTGGTTAGGGGAGTCGTCCTGGAACTGGAAGGCCGATGGTTCGATCCCCCGTCCAGCCGTCTCAGTCGTTGTGTCCTTGGGCAAGACACTTTACCCACCTTGCCTACTGATGGTGGTCAGAGGGTCCGGTGGCACCGGTGCTTGGCAGCCCCACCTCTGTCAGTGTGCCCCAGGGCAGCTGTGGCTACAGTGTAGTTTGCCATCATCAGAGTGTGAATGGGTGAAAGTCTGTTAGTGTAAAGCGCTTTGGGGTCCGGAGAGACTTGAAAAGCGCTCTATAAGTTCAGTACCATTTACCATTATTGGATGCCTGTGATCTTCAGACCTTCGGGCAACACTTCATTTAGATCAGGTCTGATTCTGTTCTGGACATTAGTGCAGTTTGAAGGACCATGGTTTGTCCWTTTAGAATACAATGGATCAGTTCTGGAATCTGGTTTTCTGTCTTTCTGGTGTTCCATTTGCACTCCACATGTCACTTCATATGATTTTTTTTATTTAGACATAGTTGTGTTCAGCCTGTTGTTAAACTAAAAACACATAAAAAAGAATACTCCACTCAAATCATCAATGGTTGGGCTGAAGCAGGAACAAAGTGAGAATAAAGTGACTCATGGCAGGCGGTTTCCTTTCAAACCCATGGAAGTATGACTGCATAAACATTACAGTGACCAGAAGTGCGAAGTGGTGAAAGTACAAATAAACTCAGAGCCAGTCAAAGTACTAATTTGGGGACTAAGATGACCTTTTTTTGTGTATGTGTGTGTGGGTCAAACCTCTGAGACAGTGTCCTGATTATACATAATGCAGTTGGAAGAACTGGAAAACCGAGTCTACAGCCATGAAAAACATTATGCAGTTATTTTTACAGGCCGCACAGTAAAATTCAATTCACTGTGTGGGAAATGTTGGTGATTTTCAGAAGCTGTGATTGTTATTTAAATGTACATAACACATGAAGTTAGTAAATTTGTGTTTGGTAGATCATTTCTTGTTRTAACAATGCTTCTTGGCAATAAATCTTATACCGTTGGAAAACCTGTTAATTTCCCTTTTAAACAGTGCCACATTTGTAAGGAACATGCATTTGTGGGATGAGCAGTAGTTTAGTTTGTAAAGTTTGTTAAGTTTATTCATATCTTTCTAAAAAAATAAACAACATAAATTATATAGACAATAAAATTACAAAWCAGAAATAAAAGGAAAGGCAGCAGAAAGCAGTAGAGCTATGTGGGTTACACACATGGAAAAAAAAAGCCAAATCTCTGCCAAACAGCTTGTTTTGCTGTTGCTATTAACACTTGTTTTGAGGTTCTGGTACCCCCAGCTGCTGCCAATCAAGTGCATAAAATTTATTGTTAAGAAGCATTGTTACAGCAAAGACATAATCTACCAAACACACATTTTCTTACTTTTTGTGCTGAAGTGTGTGTGTATATA